AACCAACCAACACCACCACAGTTGCGCACATGAGAACTGTTATGAATAAAGCACGGTATTTGCTCTCTTGGAAAAATTGACCAATCAGGAACACCACAAGACACCACGGTCAAATTTGAATACGACATAAAAAATACATACACTCTTGATGGTGTAGGCAATTGTAAATTAAGTACCATCGAAGGGTATACTAGCCACTTGGTCCGATACATTAAAGATTTGGAGCTATGCAACTGTCCATATGGGTGCAACAGTCAAAGTATGGTGTACAATAGGTAAGCACGCAGTCAGCGGCGAAAATGCTGCAAAGCAGATATAACGGTTCGCTATTCACATCCTTATATCACGAAAATACAATCGCGCATAAGTCGGAAGGAATGAAAGTTGACTTCAAAAAGGAAAAAGAACATGAAAGGAAACAATTGCTCATAAAATCGCAATAACTGCATGATAAGGTGGCAGCAAAGTTTTACCACGAGGCATGCTGGCTGACCACGGTAAGACAACAAATAGAGCCGAAATGTGTATGGAAATGCAGGACAAAATCGGTTCGCAGTGGCGGTAAGTTAGTCATTCAGCCTTGAGCTTGAAGGAGTCGAACGCGTCCGATTTGGCAAGTTGACGACCGACAAGTGAGGCAGTAATCCCTCCAGAGAAGAAAATGCACGGTAGCCACGATGTGAGAAGTGGATCAATGGATCTAACAAGCATGGCGTCAGACCAACTGAAGCTTACCTAATGGTTTGGTCCCCAAGCACAAGACAAATGCCGGTGCCCAGCAGCGACATCAAGAATCCAGTAAGAATGCCACTGACAGAACGATCAAAAATCCACCATATACCCATAGCAAAACAGAAACTTGTCAGAAGCAGCTGTGAGAGAGACATGATATCAAGTTTGGCAGACGCATGACTTATGCCCATAAAAAATATTATGCAGCGCATGATCGAAGACCACTCTGGCTCATAAGGATTTGAAAGCTTTAGGTTACGGTAGAGACGAGGCGATGTTAGACCACAAGCAACTAAGAAATAACGAGGAGAAGGGAAATACTTACCTGAAAGAAGACCACAGCATAAAGGAATACAGGAGTTGGAGCTCAACAAACACTGACTGAACTTATCATTGAAAATTCCACTTCGAAATCCCTGTATGACTCCGAAAATATAATAAAACAGGACCCCGATAACGAACAATATGAAACCACGAGCACAAACCCGCATAATAAATGAGGCTTTAAGACAACAATTGAACTTATGCTATTACATACGAAAGTGATTGGCTAAAATCAATCGCGCAGCAAATATAGTACAAATATAATGCCTCATTTTGCCTGTAAGTATCAAAAAAACAATAAAATTAAACAAAAACTCTTAATAACAAGACACTTGTAATTCTTGTTTTAATATTTTAATTTTTAAGCGCAAATTCAAGGTGGCGATGGTCGATAATTGTGGTCATCTTAAGTACATTGAGCTCGAAAATTACAAGTCTTATAAGGGCAGACAAGTGATTGGCCCATTTAG